ACACACACACACACACACACACACACACACACACACACACACACACACACACACACACACACACACACACACACAAAGCTGAAAAAGGCAGACTAGTGCATCCTAAATTTTTTAAAACATTTTTATGACATTATAGTCATTTTCGCCTTTAGAAGAATGTTTTTTTGAGGGTATCACCTCCCAATAAATGTCTTTTTGAAAAAAATCTAGCCACTCATTTTTACTCAAAACTTTTCCTTTTAATACTTACTTGTTCTTTTACTCAAGTATCACTTTGAGGTACTTTATACAACACTGGTGGCTACTTTAAACAGGGTAGTGACTTGCTTCAGCTCCCAGTAGCAAGAAAATGTGGGGAAGGTTGGTATGTAATATAAACCGTCTATAACTGACTAATAATTGACTAGACAGTGACTAAAACTTCAAGAAATGTGAGTTTTGTTGTGGTCTCACTGAATTTGGGTGTTTAAGACTAAGTGACAAAAAATCTGCAATTTCAAAAATTATGGCTTAAATGGTGCAGTTTTGTTGCCCATCTTTGCCCCCACGGTGCCCACCTTGACATCCCTCCCCCCATTTTTATCATGTATTCTACTAGAGTACACTTTTGAAATGAAGAGTAACACTGCAAAAACTGTCCATCTAACCAAGTCTTACAATCTTATTTAAAGCTAAAAAATATTTTTGATTTTGTTTTGAGACCGATTTACTAAACCAGAGCAGAATGTGTAAGATATTAATCTTGTTAGCCTGGAAATTTGACTCAAATTAAGTGAAATAATTTGCCACTGGAGTAAGTTAATTGCACATGAAATAAGGAAACTTTGAGTCAAATTAAGTGATTTCAAGACTTTTTGCAGTGCAGGTCTGAAACTTGTTTAGAACACTAAGGCTTTTTAGAACAGACGTGTCTAAAACCTTTATTTTTGAAAACATTTTGAGACATTTATGAGACTTCCTCATAAATATCATTCACCAGCTAGTCGCAGCCCAGTGACATTAATTATAAGGAATACAARTACATACCAAACAAATACCCTCCAAGGCCTGTGGAGTAACTTTCAAACACTGGGTCACCATGCGGTCCAGGTCTCTGTTAAAGTCCATGCTCACATTCAGCATAGCCAAACATGGAGTCCTGTCGATGGGATTTACGTTTCTCTGGTAGTCTTGAAACTTCTTGTGGCGCATGACGACACCACAGTCCTCTAGTGTTGTGCTGGGGAGCACAGACATGATCCTCAGCAGAGTGTTGATGTTCCCAAAGTACTGCATGAGTGGCAGACGAAGAGTATGGAAGATGGAGCTTGGAATGGTCACAGATGCCACTTTGGTCTTCCATGTTACTCTCCAACAACAAAGCTCCGTGAAGAAGTTGTCAGCATCGGGGAGATCGCTACTGTAGAGAGGCGGCTTTGACTTCAAACTCTCAAACATGTAACTCACTGTGACTGAACATGGAACCAGGGAGAGGAAGTTGAGAGCTTCTTTGTGGTCGTCTGAAAAATGGTCCTTCACAGTATTGAGAAGGTTGTCTACAAGGGGCACACTCAAATTATCTTTGTAAATTGCGACTGACTTCATCATACCGTCCTTTAGGACAGAGTTGTCATGCCCATCCACCTGTACTGTGAGACTCTGGGCTATTGCCCAGGCTTCATCAAACCAGTTCTGGTGAAACAACTTCATGTTGGTTTTCACTCTGTTTAGAGTGGCCATAATCCCATCAATCTGGCACAGCTGAGACGCAGCAGTGAACTGATCCTTCTGAAGACCTGCACTTAGCTCTTTGGTGAAAGAGGATGCATTCTTCAACACCACCATTGCAATGATGAAATCAAACTCTGTCACCTTGCAAAGAAGGACTCCTGCTTGCTCAGACACAGAGGCCTTCCATCTCTGTGGGTGATTCTTGATCTTCTCAAGACATTCAACTAGGGGCTCAAGCATCTGCACAAACACCTCATAAGAATCATGCTCCTGCTGCCAAATAGTGCAGAACTTCCCCTGTAACTCTTGGACCTTTTCATAACTCTCCCTAAGACCAAAGGCAATCACATGGTCAAGCTGTTTTTCCAAAGCAGCACAGCTGCCAAAAAACATCATGACTTCTTCAAATGTGTCCAGGGCTCTCTTCACTGCAGCCACAGGAATTGATTTTGACCACCATGTGTTGAAAGAATAAGACGAACAGTGTGTGCTTATAGCAAGAGGATGCTTCTCCTGGACTTTACAGGCAAAGGCTTTAAGCTTGTATGAAACATCTCCAGAGCCAAGGTAAGCCTGACCTCTGCAGTTACTTAAATCAAGATGCCACTCCACCGTTATTTTCTCCATAAGACTTCTTATCAAGACATCACATTCAAGATCTGCCTCAATAAACCCCAACAACTCAAATCTCATGACATCAAAACTGTCCACAAACCTGATGAAGAGTGGAAGGTAGTCCCTCTGCCCAAGTTTCACAACACGGTCAATAACCAGAGAAAAAAATGAACTCCCCACCTCCATGAGGATCCCCTCCCTCACTGCTTTCTCACACACAGTGAGAACCTCGTTCATTTCAGACTTGGTCACATACTCAACATCTCCATCTTGAGCCGGACAGGCATCACTATCCGACTTGCCCTGACTGCAAGAAGCCACCACCGCAGCCTGCAGAGCAGATTTGAGAGCTTCTCTATCTGTCTCTGCACATTTCAACTCCACAAGCCTATCAGCATCCATCTCTAGATTTATGAGCTGTAGTTCTTCTTCAGTATCCTTTTCTGCATGGTTTACATGGGCCGCCACTGAAAAATAAAAATAAGACCGTCTTTAGTGAGATTGTCAGCGTGACATTTTACAAAATCACAGTAAATTACAATAAAAATAACATTTGGAATTCAAATGATCTCAAAACGTATTTCATTCAGAAATTTAATATGATGCCTGACTGGAACACAGAAAGTTGTGCAAGTAAAGAAAATAACAAAGAATTGCCATTTAAATGTCACTTCAATCCATTTCTTAAAGGCTTTAAAATAGAAATATGAACTCTGACATAATTTTAGGATGAACAATGACAAATGGCTGATTAAATAAATTCAGTCAGTTTGTTCATCAATAAATAATGCTGCAATATTAGTTCAATCTTAATAGTAACTATTTGTTATATCCCAATTTATGGTACATTTAGACTACAGCTAAGTGCAAATAAATAAAATGTGCACCAATTTCTGTCAGTCCCAAAAAATAAAGCCACCATGAACCACAAAGATTTTCCTCACCTATCAATTTGCTCATGTAGTAAAGGGTAACTTTAGACATACACCAAAGCTGCTTTTACACAATCAACACTAAAGCACAAACTACTCCAAGATATTAAATACAAACTATACAAATAATTACACCGATATGCTTGTTTTATTAATATTAATTCTCAATAACTTGTTAATAATTCTTGTTGAGGGAGGTCAGTTCTTTTTGCATCTCAGGGTTTCTGACATTTTAGCCTGTTCAAGTAGCTGATGGGGCATCATGCACATGCTCTGTCAGTGACTGCTTTTTTATTTTATTGACATTACTTACTGTTGGACGAACATATTGTCTAAAATTAAGTCAGTCAACTAAAATTCTTAAGCAAGCAAGAGCAGTTTATTAGAGCAACGATGCCCTTCTAAAACATTCAGCACAAAAAGTATTTTCTCCTTCTAAATAATGTTATTTACCCAATTATTACCTCTTGTTTTGTGTGTTTTTGATTCTTTTAATTAAATTTCTAAATGTTTTTTGGGGTGCATCATACTCAGTTTTTTAAACATACAATCAAGCCATTTAATTTTTATATGCACATGCAGTTTTAATTAACTGCATGTCAAGTTTTTACCATTATATGCAAAATGGAGGCGGAAGATGTCGAACTTTTTCATGACTATCTGAATGTGACAAATCAGATTTTTTTTTTTCTAAATTCAACCCAGTTTTTTTCAGGATGTGGTACTGAATCAGGTGAGCCTGATTAAAACCTTGTCCTTCACTTTGCTTCATACGAGAGTCTCGACTCTCACCTATAGAGAAGTGATTCTTGCTGGAGGCAAGTTGAAGTTTAAAATGATTGGATCGGTTGGCTGCGACGTATACGCCAGCTCCACTGTGAAGGAGGCTAAGCTAAGAAGCTAATCGGAAATCACGTGCTTTAAACAACGCTACTGAGAGGAGAGAAGTACCGAGCCGAACGAGAGGGTTGTAAACGAGAGCTGCTGCTTTGTCAGATTAATTTAATTTAATTCGGAAGACTAATCAACACAGACTGGCTTCACTCACTTCCTCCACTGCCGTATGCTAAAATAACTAGCAGACACTGTGCAGAACATCGACGTCTTTCAAAACTCCGCCTTCTGTTCTCTGATTGGTCCGAACGAAATTCTCCTGAAGAAATTGTCTTTGGGAGAAATGCCAGAAGGAGCAGTGAAGGGAAACTAGAAATGAGCAAAACTGCGTAGGAAGGCAAGAGCCAGGCTAGAACTGGATACATGTCTGTTTTTCAAAGCAACCTCAGTTTGATCGCATTTTGTCTAAGGTGGGGATAAACAAATCAATCCATTAACCTCGAGCCATGCTGTTTAAATCTTGTAGCTCCACGTTTTCAGCTACAGAGATGAAGTACATTTGTCTTTTTTTCTTTTAATTTTCCATGTCCTGAAGGACTGATTATTCCACAGAAAAATATGACAGTAACACCGAGCGGTCGCACACATTCAACGATGGAGAAAACGGGAGAGTTTTTCATAAATGTCAGTCAATATAAGCAGCGGAATCGTCATCAGCCACCAGTTATTGAGGAGCTGCTCCAACAGTAACATTAGCTTGCTAATGCGTTTAGCAGTGCTGCGAGGAAAAGTGTCCCCGGTGAAACAGTTCACTGGTGGGTGCAACACAATGTTCAGAGTGTGTTCAGGCGATTTAAACCAGAATGTCAGTTTTCAGAACTTTCATATCATAAAAATAAAAAACGGTTTTCAATACAAAAACATTATACTGCCCAGCTCCAATTTGTACCATTTTTAAAAAAATATTATTTACCATGTTTCCTCCCATTTAACCAGAGTTGTAATGTAACTAAAGTGCAAATACTTTGTTACTGTACTTAAGTAGAAATTGTGGTTGTTCTGTACTTAATTATTTTTCAGCCTACTTTTTACTTTTACTCATTACATTTTTACACAATTATCTGTACTTTCTACTCCTTACACTTTTTAAAAAGGTAAGAAGTAGAAAGTAGTTACTCCTATATCATTTCGGCTTATTGTTTAAAAACTATTATCCTGATAAAATGTGCCTCCTGGATAGAGTGAATTTAATTGTGGTTGGATGAGAAGTACAAATGTATATCATTCTGATACTGTATTTAATTTGTATACAATTAATCAAAGCTGCACACCTTTATAAAATTTTTTTTGAATAGGTGACCTCTCAATAAATGTCTTTTGGAAAATCTAGCCACTCATTTTTACTCAATACTTTACTTTTGATACTTAAGTACAAAATAAATCAGATACTTTAAGACTTTTACTCAAGTAATATTCTTAGAGGAGAGTTTAACTTTTACCAAAGTAATTTTATGATAAGATTGTACTTCTACTCAAATATCACTTTCAGGTACTTTATACAAGACTGCATTTAACTCATGAAAATAGCTACATACGTATCTCACCTTGTAAAGGCTTTTCTGTTGCGTCACCGTCCTGTAAAACAGACAGCTACGTGTTAGTTCACAAAGCTGTAACATGAAACTTTTATTAACTTAAAGTCTACGTACCATCTGCAGCATCTGCAGGACATCAGGATGTTTCTGAACATACGTCTCCACCATTTTTTCAACACTGAAGTGCACGTCCTGGTTCACGTAAACAAACGCCATGCTACACTGTCGTTGGTCGTCCGGTGTTGCTTTCAGGTAGGACTGACATCGCTCCAGAACCATGTGGTACTGGCCGTACACATCAGCCTCTGCATTTACACACGGAACAGTACCCAACACCCTCAGCAAGCTTTGCACATTTGGGTAAAACCCAATGTCTGGTATCTTGAGCGTCGCAAACACTGTAGTTGGCAGGATTCTGCGTTTGCTTGCATGCCTCCACTTCACCTCCCAACAACCAAGCTCCTCGTAGAACGTGTCCGGGCGYGCAAGGTTGTTCAAGTTGGCGTCTGCTACTTTATCTCTGCGGATGCTGAAATTGTGGTCTGCCATGTATGACGGAACTAACGAGAGCCACCTGAGGATTCTCACCATTTCTGTGCTGAACACTCGCTTCACCTCTGCAACAAGATACTGCAAGATGGGCCGGCTCAGGGTCTCTCTGTAAAGGTCCTCCAGTGGCGTGTCAGTTGGCTCTGCCTGGGTTAGGTCTGGCTTAGTGACCTCCACTCCCAGCTTTTTTGCACGGCCAACTGCATCAGAAAACCATTTTCGGTGAAAAATCGACAGCTCTTGTTGGTATTTGCTGACCAGCTTTAAGGCATTGGAGATTGTGTACTGTAAGGTACTGCTGATGCTTATGATTCCCCTGAGACTGGAGTTAAGTATGCTCACACAACAGAGGGTGTTTTTTAGAACAACAAGTGTTATGATGAAATTGAAATTCTTTAAAACTGGCTTGAGCCTGGCCAACCGTTCAGCTGTGTCTTCGTTCACTTTGGAAATGATCTCATTGATGCATGTGAGAAATGGCTCAAGGATTTCTAGCATGGTCTGGAAGGCATCGGTGCCATATTCCCAGTTTCCACTGATAGCCGTTCTGATTCTGTCGACTTCTCCTTTTAAATGCCCGTATGTCATCTGGATCTTTCCTTCCAATCGTCTGTTCAGCTCTGGGGTTCTCCTGAGTAATGAGGCCACCTCCTCTACAGTGTCTGCAACCTTCTGGATTGAGGGGACAGGCATGCAGCGAATGATCCATATATTAAATGCATATGGATCACTGGGCGACAAAACTACTTGCGGAAACTCCTGCAGGATCCTGCATGTGAGATCTCTCATTTTCTGACACATGCTACCTGTAATGAGATAAGTGAGTCCCCTGCAGTGCTCCATCCTCAGCCCCCACTTACTTCGCAGCTCAGAGAGGAGCATGTAAAACATATTCTCTCCATCTAAGTCGCATGGTAAGAAGCCAATGAGATGCTTCTGGGGGAAACCAGCAATAGTAACCGATCTGATAAAAACTGGAATCTGCTCCTTTCCTTCTATGCTCGTCACATCCTGCAGCAGAATGGAGAAGAACCGGGCCAGTGTCAGGCTGTTCTGAATCTCCTCCCTCATGAGATGTTCACTGAACTGCAGGATTTCTTTTTTGTCTATTTTCTCCAGGCAGGTTCGACTGAGAGCCTGCTGGCCGTTTGCACCTCCGATTGGCTGCTCAGCGCTGATGTTGGCGCCGTTGATGCTGAATCCCGTCAATGCCAGGATCTCCTTGAAATAAGCTTTCAGAGTCTCTTTTGCTTTGGAGACAGCGACATCCTCGTGGGTTTGGTTATCGGTTTGCAGTTCAGTCGCTTCACTGTTCTCCCCAGCTGGTTCTTTAGCCTCTTCTTTCACTTCTGCTGGTGCATTTTCTGATGTGAAAGATAACATTATGATGGAGAGATAAAAATTGTTTAGTCAACATAAAACAGTTATCCAATACATTTTAGCATGAACTAAATATCTACATAGAGTTAGGTGACAGGCTATTTTTTTTACTTGGCCAACATCAGTCTACCAATATTTGCTCAGGTGTCTTTAACATTTTCTTTTTTTATGAACTTGCCTGCTCTCTGTACAACTGTAGAAATAGGATGTTTGTTGTCAAAAAGGAAATATCAAAGACTGTGATACTTTTGTTTAAAAACAAGAAGTTACTAAATAAGTTTGACATGCAGTGGGGAGATCAAGTATTTGATACACAGTTGATTTTTCAGGTTTTGCCACTTGCAAAACTTGTAGATGACTGTAATTTTTATCATAGGTACTCTTCAACTGTGAGTGATGGAATCTAAAACAAAAATCCAGAAAAATACAATGTATGATTTTTAAATAATTAAATTCCATTTTATTGTGTGAAATAAGTATTTGATACACCAKAAAAATGAAACTTAATATTTGGTACAGAAACCTTTGTTTGCAGTTACAGAGATCAGACGTTTCCTGCAGTTCTTGACCAGGTTTGCACACACTGCAGAAGGGATTTTGGCCCACTCCTCCATACAGATCTCCTCCAGAGCCTTCAGGTTTCGGGGCTGTCGCTGGTTTCGGGGCTGTCGCTGGGCCACACGGACTTTAAGCTCCCTCCAAAGATTTTCTATTGGATTCAGGTCTGGAGACTGGCTAGGCCACTCCAGGACCTTAAGATGTTTCCTACGGAGCCACTCTTTAGTTGCCCTGGCTGTGTGTTTTGGGTCGTTATCCTGCTGGAAGACCCAGCCACGACCCATCTTCAGAGCTCTTACTGAGGGAAGGAGGTTGTTGGCCAAAATCTCACATGGCCCCATCCATCCTTCCCACAATATGGTGCAGTCGTCSTGTCCCCTTTGCAGAAAAGCATCCCCAAAGAATGATGTTTCCACCGCCATGCTTCACGGTTGGGATGGTGTTCTTGGGGTTGTACTCATCATTCTTCTTCCTCCAAACATGACGAGTGGAGTTTAAACCAAAAAGTTTTATTTTTGTCTCATCAGACCACATGACCTTCTCCCATTCCTCCTCTGGATCATTCAGATGGTCATTTGCAAACATCAGACGGGCTTTGACATGCGTTGGCTTGAGGAAGGGCACCTTGCGTGCTCTGCAGGATTTTAATCCTTGACAGCGTAGAGTGTTACTGATTGTTTTCTTTGAGACTGTGGTCCCAGCTCTATTCAGGTCATTGACCAGGTCCTGCCGTGTAGTTCTGGGCTCATTCCTCACCTTCCTCAAGATCAATGATGCTCCACGAGGTGAGATCTTGCATGGCGCCCCAGACCGAGGGAGATTTTCTGTTATTTTGTATTTCTTCCATTTTCTAATAATTGCACCAACTGTTGTTGCCTTCTCACCAAGCTGCTTGCCTATTTTCCTGTAGCCCATCCCAGCCTTGTGCAGGTCTACAATTTTATCCCTGATGTCCTTACACAGCTCTCTGGTCTTGGGCATTGTGGAGATGCTGGAGTCTGATTGATTGAGTGTGTGGACAGGTGTCTTTTATACAGGTAACCAGTTCAAACAGGTGCAGTTAATACAGGTAATGAGTGGAGAACAGGAGGGCTTCTTAAAGAAGAACTAACATGTCTGTGAGAGCCAAAATTCTTACCGGTTGATAGATGATCAAATACTTATTTCACACAATAAAATGGAAATTAATTATTTAAAAATCATACATTGTATTTTTCTGGATTTTTGTTTTAGATTCCATCACTCACAGTTGAAGAGTACCTATGATAAAAATTACAGTCATCTACAAGCTTTGCAAGTGGAAAAACCTGAAAAATCAACAGTTTATCAAATACAGTACTTGTTCTCCCCACTGTAAATACACCAGATCACTGATATCAGAAGATACAGGCAGCTCTGTTTTGTTGTTATGAGAATGAACATGTGATTAACTTCTAAACTGATGATCTTAATGTCACAGCACACAAAACTCATTTTCCTGGCAAGAGCACACAAGTAGGAGGCAGAGGATGAAAGCTGTCACCACAGACAATTACTGCCAGTTCAGCTAGAAATCGTATCAGCTTMATTAACCCTAATGCAGTAGAGCAATGATTCCCAAACAGGGGTATGTGTACCACTTGGGGTATGCAAGCATATTACAGGGGGTACGTGGAAAAATTTCCTAGGTGTGTAAAAAAATTATAAAAATAGGACTGAGATTTGTAGGGCCCTGTGATTTCTGCAATATCGAAATTGCAGTCGGAATCATGGAATTAACACAAAATGGAATCCAGTATAAAACGTTCTCACTGAATTTGCTCATTTGGGTGAGTTTCTGACATATTTTGGACAATACAATGTATTTTGGATGCTGCTGTTTTCTGCACCTGCCATTACCTGGTTTATTTATTTAATTACTTATTCACTTTAAAGGCAACATTTTTATTTGTATGTTTAATTTGAGTTGAAAAAAATAAAATGCCTGAGAATTAAACTTTTGAGGGGGTTAAATAAATAATTTTCATTTATTGATCAGTTGTATTTAATTATAGTTTTGGAGAATCGTCATTACGTTTGACTGAAGAGGTACTAGTGGTATGACAACATAGCTCAGGGGGTACAGAAGCCTAAAAAGGTTGGGAACCACTGCAGTAGAAAATAAGAATATAAGGGAATAAGCATCAATCAAGAAAATGGGGATTTAAACCCATCAAACATCTTCATAAGCTGTGCCTGAAATCTGGGGTATGTGCTCCACAGGGCAMAGGCAGCTTCCACTGATAATAATATAATTAAAACAAGTTCAAGTTATTGGGTGGTCTGTATTARCTGACAGCTGATTGTCAAACGGCTGCTGTTCATCACAGTGCTGCTCTACAGAGCAGACAATTCATATTCATATTGTATAAATCATGTCTGCAACAGCAAGGAAGAGGATTTACAGCTCTTTGGGTGAAATATTATAAATTGGATTAAATATTTGTAGATATAGGATAATGTGGAGTTACACAAACAATTATTAGTTATGTTCTAAAAAAATTAATCTGTACAAACTGCAAAGTTGACGGGGTTCACAGTACACAAGTAATGTGCTCAGTAGAGGGGAGAGGTGTCACACGGTGCAGTCATCCCTCACTACGAACAGCTGTACATAGTGACGTATGACATACTAGTTCACACTACTCAGGCCTAACAGTGGAAGAAAATCCTGAGCCCAAACTTAATTCTACCCCCCACATCTCACATTCCCAACTTCTGTCTACATTTACATTGATAATACCAACATACAGTGGTGGGCACCAGCCTGCAAAAGCGCAAATCCGCTAATTGCGGACCTAAATATTTCGTTTGCGCTTTAGCGGTCTTACTAATTTTTATAATTCATAAGCGGATTTGCGCTTTCTTAAATTAAAATCATCAATATTAAAACAATAAAAGGCTTGAACTACTTCAGTTGGTGTGCAATCAATCTAAAATACAGTATATGAAAGTTTAATGTTTATCAGTACATTACAGAAAAAAATAAACTTTATCACAATATGCTAATTTTTTGAGAAAGACCTGTATATCATTTTCTTTAAGTTTCACTCCAACTTCTGCTGGATCTAAATCAAGTTTTGCAAGTCTCATCTACACCTTTTTTCTGATTAGCTAGTGTGTTAGAAGCACCTCTATAGAAATGTTTGTTAAATCTCCAGAAAACACAATTTACTGATCTGTTTTTTGGAATAACAAAGCTGAACTAAAGTGCACGTTGATATTTCTTTAAAGTAGAGCTTATGAACTCTGGAAATTTTTGGTAGCATATTTATTCGTCCATACACCCAACCCTACATCCATGTTGATTTTTCAGACAAATAAAACAAGTTACAATACCTTTTGTTTTCTTCGCAGCGGCTGCTTCTTCTTCCGACTGGAAAGAGAGATTTAAATTGTTAGTATTTTATGATTTCATAAAAAATACCAGGATGGGACATTTTTATAATGCAAAAAAATCTTACGGGATCTCTTGCTCGTTTCCTGTTAGCAGCTGGCTGTTTATTCACAGGCAGTGTCACATTAAATATTGTAGGAACAGCATCTTCTTTTAACACACAACTGGATGTACTCTGGAAAAAAGTAGATCACATTCAAAGGTTTAGCTCTATTCTTAAGAAAGTGTTTATGAAAGAAAATCTTACCAAATTTTTAAAATGGCAAATAAAACTGATACAGGAACAGTTTAATAAATATCAGTACGTTAACTTTTTTAGCTTCTGCTTCTACAGAGATTGTTGTAGCACAGAACAAAAAGTTGTAGCATCTGTTACAACCTCTAAAACAGGGGTGGCAATCCTGGTCCTCGACGGCCGCAGCTCTATATGTTTTACGTTTTTCCTGGCTCCAACTCACCTGATTCAGTCACTGATTTACCTTCTAAGTTCTGCAGTATGGACGACCAAAACTGACATAATTATAAATAAAAGCAGAAATATATAAATAAATAAAATAAATAAATAAATAAATAAATAAATAA